CATTCCCTTTTGGGAGTAACCAAATCAATCCCAGGTGAGTCTTAGTACCCTGGATGCCTATTAATACCTTGTATTGATCCGGATGCGCTGTTGATAGCAAGCCTCTCAGTAAAGACCATACTGATAGAGTGAAACCTCCTCTTTACAGGACTGGTATTAATCACCCACTACCTAACACTCACCACGCTCAAAACACTTCAGTCAACTCATAGTAACAACCTTTTACTTCCAAACACTCAGGTTAGTTACCCAGAGGCTGACAGATCTTGGGTTTAACCACAAGTAAACATGCAGGAAGGGGAACTACAAAAAAACCTAGGATTTGGGCTCCGGAAATCCCAGCGACTACAGGAAAAGAACACGCCCTCTGGTAGCCAGCCAGCTCCCAGCAACCCTGTAGGAACAGAGGGACAACCATCAAATATTCAGGACGAGGAACCAAAAACAGCCTCAAGGAGGAAAAGTTTCCCGTGATCTTGGCTTGAAGACAACGACGACGAGGAAGAAGAACGGATTAATATACCTACTAAGGCTAAGACCCAACCAGTTCTGCCAGAAAAAGAAAAGCAGACTAGGACAGAGACTCAGATGGCGGATAAACAAGAAGTGATAATTTGAAAGTTGGATAAATCATTGAAAGCCAAATTTTACCGCCAGTTGTACACTCTCACCTTAGAAGAAATCTTGAAGATCTCGCCAAATTTCTTGCAGAGTTTGCATGCGGTACAACCAGAAGAAGACTTGGTTGAACGGGGTTTGAACAGTTTCAAATTCAACTGTGCAACCAATGCAAGTATTGATAATGAAGGACAAGATTCCGGGCTTACCTACGCGTGTCCAGTGGGAATGGTGGATATGACCATAAATAAACGCAAAATTAGGACCTTGGTGGATACTGGTGCGGAAATGAACATCATTCCAGACAGTCTGGCAGACCAACTTGGACTTTTAACAACAGAAATATTTATGCGGTTGAAGGGCATTGGGGGATATTTTACACCAATTATTGGAATTGCGGAGAACATACCCGTCAGCATATTCCCAGGACACATTCACCTGGCCAACTTCTTTATTGTTAAAGGATCAGTACATACTGTTATAGGGCGATCCTTCCTTGCAGATCATAATATCCGGCTAGAGTTATCAAGTCAGAAGGGGGAAATGTTAAGCTTTTTAGACACTGATCAACGGAGGTTATGCATACCAATATGCTTACCAAATACACCAGGATGGCACAATGAACCGCCAAAACTCCGACAAGTCTGCACTTTACAAGTTGACAAGTGGGAGGCCGAGAGTATCAGTTCAAAAGACTTTAACCTGCAGGAGGAAATGGAGGAGTAAAATAAAACAATTCCACTTCTAAACGAGGATCCATGGCAGGTTGTTTTATCAGAACCCGTAAATTGGGAAACAGAACTTGGTGCAGCAGAAATAGATGAGGTGTCCTGGGATACATTTCACCAAATTAATTCAGCTGTATGGGGAATGAATGCCAATCCAGAAAGAGACGCTTGGAGCCTGTACAAGGAGGAGGTTTGGTTACACCCGTGATTCAAGGAGGTATTCACCTGGCCTACTCAGAAAAGGTCACTACGGAAGTTACCCTTATGGTTACGAGAGTTACCAGGAGGCGGCTTGGGGTCTTTGGAATTTTTGCAAATTCTCACGACGGAAGCGGCAGATAGTTTCTTACAATATGGAACCTGGAACTCAAGATATGGACCAGTCAGTATTGCTATCAGACTGATATTATACGGAGGTGGAGCACTAAAGTGGTACAAAAAGCACATATCCAGAAGCTAGAAAGCTAAGAACTTGAGGAATGCTAGCTTTGGAGGCTACCAGTTTTTTATTTGAAAAATTAGCTCACTTACAAACTATATTTTCACATTTATCAGTAATGTATTAACAGAGGCATTTTTTTAGGAAAGTCATCAAACAATAGTGTATTGCAAAAGTAAAAAAAAAAAAAAACTTAGAGAATGCACTCAGATAGGTCAATCTATATACAATTACATTTACACATCATTAACATGCTTTCAAATTTTCTTTATATCATTTCTTTAAGTGTATCTTACCAATATATAGATATGTATATATATATATATATATATATATATAGGGCATTAATAAAAAAACATGGTTTTTCCGCATTTACACACGGTTTTGCTGCGGCCCAGCGCACGCGGTTTCCGCGTTTAAACACTGTTTTGTATATAATTTTTTACCGCTTGTTTTTCGAGTTTTTTTGAATTTTTAAAGTTGTTTCCTACACTTTAAAAGGTGTAGAATTTAATGGTAAAAACCATTTTCCATAAAAATGAATTTTGATTATTAATTATTTTTTTTTCACTCATTTCTCAATTAATTGTTTGCATACATGTATGTACCTTATTTTTCATGTTTTTTTGAAATTTTAAATTTATTTCCTAGTTTTTAATGTGCGTAGAATTTAATGGCGCAATCCAAATTTTTCAAAACTCAACGGTTCACTTTGAATACTCAAAATACACCCATTTTTTCACTTAAATTTTTAGAGCTTAATTTTCATTCTTTTTTGACATTTTAAATTTTTTTCCTACACTTTAAAGCATTTATAAATATATGGTTAAGATCATTTTGCACCAAAGTGAGAACTACATCTTGTATACTGCATTTGACATTGTTTTGTTTATTTAATTCTTCACTTTTTCACTCAATTGTTTGCATTAATTTTTTTACCTTATATTTTATGCTTTTTTGAAATTTTAAAGTTGTTTCCTACATTTCAAAGTGTTTAGAATTCAATGGTAACATTCAATTTCCATAAAAATAAACGGTTCATTCTGAATACTGTAATTGGTCTTAAAATTCAATTGATTTGTAAGAGCTTGATTTTCATTATTTTTTGACATTTTAAATTCATTTCCCACACTTTGAGGCAGGTTAAAAATGATGGTAACAATAATTTTGCATAAAAATAAAAACTATATCTTGAATACTGCATTGAACGCTTTTCCTTAATTAATTCTTACACGCTTAATGATCCTTATTTTGTGAAATTTTAAGTTTTTTCCTACACTTTGAAAGGTTTTAAAATTGATGGCTGTATCCATTTTTCATTCAAATAAAATTTTTATACAGTACAAATTATGCAAGAAACGGGGTACACTCTTATATTAGGATTGAAGCTTCAAGTTTTATGAAAATTGGACTTCACCATTCAATTCTAAATATTTTTAAATGTAGGAAATCAATTTAAAATTCCAAAAAATGATTGAAATTAAGCCAGTAAAAATTAATTCAAAAAACATTAAAAAAAATGTGTCCAACACAGTATTCATTACCAATCTTTTGTTTTTATGCAAAATGATTGTTACCATAAGTTTGACCATGTCTTAAAGTGTGGGAAATAAATTTGAATTGTCAAAAAAAAATGAAGATTAAGCTCTAGAAATTTAAGTGAAAAAATGGGTGTAATTTGAGTATTCAAAGTGAACCGTTGAGTTTTAAAAAAATTGAATTGCGCCATTAAATTATAAGCACATTAAAACCTAGGAAATAAATTTAAAATTTCAAAAAAACATAAAAAATAAGGTACATACATGCATGCAAACAATTAATTGAGAAATGAGTGAAAAAAATAAGGGCTTTAATAAAAAAACCCGCATTTTCCGCGTTTTGACGCGCTTTTGCTGCGCGCAGCACACGCGCATTTATTAATTAATTTCAAGTTTTTTTGTTTTTTTAAGGTTGTTTCCTACACTTTAAATGGTGAAGAATTTAATGGTAAAACCCATTTTTCATAAAAATGAATTTTGATTATGAATTATTTTTTTTCACTCATTTTTTCCGTTAATTGTTTGCTTTACGTTTTTTACCTCATTTTTCAAGATTTTGTGTAACTTTAAAAATGTTTCCTACATTATTAAGTGTGTAGAAATTTTTGGTGAAATCCAATTTTCATAAAAATGAATGGATCATTTTTAATAATGCAACTACACCCATTTTTTCACTTAAATTTGTAGACCTCAATTTTCATTCTTTTTTCACATTTTAAACTTTTTTCCTACACTTCCAGACATGTAGAAATTTATGGTAAAAATTATTTTGAGTCAAAGTGAGAACTACATCTTGTATACTGCATTTGACACCGTTTTTTTATTTAATTCATCAGTTTTTCACTCAATTGTTTGCATTAATTTTTTTACCTTATTTTTTATGCTTTTTAGAAATTTGACAGTTGTTTCCTACATTTCAAAGTGTTTAGAATTCACTGAGAACATTCAATTTCCATAAAACTCAACGGTCATTCAGAATACTGTAATTGGTCTGAAAATTCAATTGATTTTTAAGAGCTTAATTTTCATTATTTTTTGACATTCTAAATTTGTTTCCCACACTTTGAGACATGTATAGAATTATGGTATAAATCAATTTGCATCAAAATGAAAACTGTACCTTGAATAAAGCCTTTGTCATGTTTCTTTAATTAATTCTTACACGCTTAATTATCCTTATTTTATGGAATTTTAAGTTCATTTCCTACACTTTGAAAGGTTTTCAAATTGTTGGCTGTATCCATTTTGCATTCAAATAAAATTTGTATACAGTACAAATTATGCAAGAAATGGTGTACACTCTTATATTAAGATTGAAGCTTTTCTTTTGAGGCAAAATGAATTCTTCCATTAAATTCTCCACACTTTTAGATGTAGGAAATAGATTTAAAATTTCAAAAAATGACTAGAGACCAGGGCGGCTGCGCCGCTGCACTTCATAGACCTCAGCACCATCCCCCCTCTTCTAGTAGTACCGTCAGGAAACCCTCAACACTCCAAATAGACTATACTTCACCATCACCATAATCCAGCCACATTCTTGCTAAATCCTATACAATCCACCCCCACATTTGTCTGGCCAACAATGTACATGTTCAGCAACCCGGATATCAACTACTTGATACTAAATGAAGAGTTATGCAAATACATTAATGAAAAGCGCCATTGTCCAACAACCTAATTAATGTTTCCCATCACAGGGACTGTGTTCTCCACCTCCACACTAAATTGAAAATCCCTAGAAAGGCAAAAAACAGCCTGTTCAGGTAGACAAATGAGAGTGGTCAGTCATCCTCCATAAGACTGACAAGTCAAAAGAAAAAGCAGGTGATCACCTACATCAATGCAAAATCAAAATCACCAACCTACTCCACTTCTCCACCATTAAGATTGCAGATAGCCTTGCTTACTTCACCTGAAGAAGTCACGTTTCAGTCTTACTCCATGGATAAATCAATTTGTTAAACTCACGCTTCCTACACATCTTGAAAAGGCCTCTGTGGACTACATTGAGGATACCCAACCGATTCGCAGGCCTTACAATAAGAAGATTGGCCACATCTGACACTCGGGAAACAGCAACATAAAGTTGGCCATGTGAGAAGACGTCTGTTTCCAGATAAACTCCAACCTTGCCAAGAGTTTGACCTTGACTTTTATTGACTGACATCGCATAAGCTGGGGCAACTGGGAACTGATACCGGAAAAATGAAAGGCCTGACCGAGCGTTTGACTTGTTGTGAAGTTTCGCTCTGGGTAAGGTGATCTCATTTCCCGCACATGGCCCAGACATCAATTTTCCAACAATGAAGCCAACGCCATAAGCAATAACCATAATTCGAGACCCATTACAAACACCATTCTTGATGTCCATGTTACGCAAGACGACCAGAGGCATACCAATCTTGATTTGAAGCTCATGATCTGGGAATCCACCAATGCTGAGTTTGTTGAGACATTCTTCCGGCAAGCTTCCAACACCATCAGGGTCTGGGGTGTCGATTGATCTTAAGGTTGTTGTAACGCCAGGGAGACGGGATAATATTTCTAGATTCAGCTTCTTCACATCCCTATTGAGTGGAGCCAAAATACATCGTTCATTCAGATAAGCAATCTTTTCCCTGTTGGTCCTTTGACCCTGACTCGCAAGTTTACCGTAGACGAATTCAATCAATTCTTGTCGCATTTCATCTTTTGATTTGAACGCTTCGATATTCATGTGATTGAGGGTGACAATACTGAAATCTGACTTCTGCTTCTTCCCCTCACCTAATATCAATAAAGCCCTTGCGAATACTCGATTTTTGTCATCTGATGAAGCGCCTATTGCTTGGGCAAGTCGCATATTCTCTGTGAGCTTGAATTGTCTAATTGAAGGCCATATCTTTGACGACTTTATTGTTGCAGCAAAAGCAGGTGGGTGTTCGTTGTATTTGACGACTGGAAGTATTTGACGGAAATCTCCCAAGAAAATTGCGTCTTTCCCACCAAACTCAGCGTCGGAGTTGCATATCCTCTTCAGCGACTTGTTAACTGCATCAATTGAATTTTTGTGAATCGTAACTATCTCATCCCAAATGATGAGTCTCGCAGCTATTAATTTTTCGCCAGCAATGTGTCCGCCTCCACTGTACATTCTCCACCAGGAGGTGCATGAATCGGTATTTTGAATGTTGAGTGAGCTGTTTGGCCCATCCTGAGAAGCAGAGCTGCCACACCTGAAGAAGCACAAACAATTTTCTTGTGCCTGTTGAGCGTAGCCCAATCGATGAGGGTATTAAGAAGAAAGGTTTTACCTGTTCCTCCAGGCCTGTCAAGATAAAACATTTTCCCGGATACCCCATCAACCGCGTTCTTGACTTTGTGAAAGAAGACCGTTTGAGATTTGTTGAAAGTGGCTTGATTGACTGACAGCCTCGCGGCGATGTTGTTTGGATTTTTGCTGCCCTCCTGCTCTGCTTGTATCTCTCGAAGTAGTCGTTTCTCCTTTTTCGTGATAGTCAGTCCGCAAGAATCGAGGGTTGTGCCCATCCCTTCAACAAATGTCTTCAACCGGAATATCGCCAGGACTCTTCGCTCGTCCTCATTTAATTGACGACTATGGCGTTTTTCATATCAACTCGAGAGCAATCATCCGTAAAGCTGAGAAAATGTGTAGTAAATAGCTCCAATGGGTCAGATGGTGGCGAGTGGACACACATCATTGCAAACATCTGTGCAAGCTGATAGCCAGATCAGACAGTGGCCGCCTCGTGTAGTGCTTGTTCATAAAGAAAATCATTGACCAGAAAACCTAACTCGTTGCAAGCATCCTGGTACGATTGGGACACTTTGCCATCGACGGTCTTCAAATCCTCAAACGACACCATTCCTTTCCTGTGAAGCAAAAGGACGCGTAGGTAAAACCTTTCACCGGCAAGGTAGGATATTGAAAAGACTTGTCCAATGGCTAATGCCCTCTTCTTTCTCCGAATCCAACGCTTGTCAGCCTTATTCCAACTAAAATACGCCGGAATATCTTCATAAAAAATTGACCGTGCTGGGACATCATCCGCTCCAAGTGCATTTTTAGCGTTTAATTCAAAGTAGCCCGTCAATGTAGTCTGATTTGCTTTCCCACTTTCAATTTGGCCCGCAAGACCGTCCTCGCCTTCAAAATACACGAGTTGTTCATCTTCATCATGGACTGCCAGACAAGTTACTGGTGGAAAGCGGTCAGAAAGAGGGAACTTGAATAAACGCCATGAAGCTGGTATAATGCATCAGCTAATGATAAGACTATTTCACAAGACCAGCAAGATCTTAGCTTACCTTCAACCGCACTGATATAGCGGCCATCAACAAATGATCTCACCTCGTCGTTTGAGTCTACAGACAAAGCCAATCAATCATGTCCCTTCATGATGTATTTGTATAGATACTTGATAGCAGTTGTGTTCACAGGAACTTCAACATTTATGTGGCAGTTGAAGTTTAATGTTAGATATGGATTATACGGCACAACTGAGCCATTATCGAATACGGTGGTGTGTTTCACAATCCGCTGGCCATCGTTGGAACGCTTGTAAACTGGGTAGGCGCCATCAACGTTGACAGTCCGTTCAGCAAATGGTTTAGGAAATCCAAGCTTGCAACACTTCCCATTCCAACATGGGCAACCCTTGCATGGCCCATGCAGCATAAAATCAGACACGAGAGAATGCAAACGTGGCAAGGTTTTTGGGTCAGTCATTGTTATGAATAGTGATGGTGGCCCAAACTTTCTGCATATCGCCATCGCATCGTGATACAGCTGTTGCATGCACCGAGGACTACCAATGAAGGATGATGGCAAAATAACGCATCATCCACTTATAGGTGCTTGGTTCTTGAGTGAATTGACTAATCGATTGTAACTTCCAGCTTTCAGTTTACCTTGGTTATTTGTGACAAATGACAGCCTTCCTCTTTTGACACAAAGATACATATCAACAAGTAACTCTTGTGTAAGTGACCGACCTGCCAAAATAGGTGAGAACCTCTTTCGGCGCCTGAAGAGCAAATAGGCAAACCATTCGAGTGAACCCACTTGTCTGTCCTTAAATTGAATAAACAAACAATTAGTACAAAGTCATCAAATCATACGCGGCTGCAAGAGATAAATCACCTCGGCCTGTCCATGCTGCATAAAGGTTATCCCATTGTTGTTGGCTGTAAGGAAAGAAGAGAGGGTAGCGAAGGGGAAAATAGGATGAGTGCATGTCCGATATCTCCACGAGCGCATTGTCACGGCGGTGGAGTATTATTTGGCGTTCGCCTATGACGTCTTCATCGCCTTGGACCACAACACCTACTTCGTCCACGGTTGGATTATTGTAGCGCTTTGGGTCCACTCCTGCTGAGGGTACCCCTTGCAAGCTGATGGTTTCTGCTTTGGCTTTCGACAGGACTTCGAGATCATTGCGGAATATATTAGCGTATGGATTAATTTTCTCCATTAAGTTAATTAGTGATAGGATTATTCCTTGTCTAATTTTAACACCTTTCACGTTGTCCTTTTTCTGACCAAGGGCGCAGTTCAGCCTATACTCCGCTTCTTCAATTCCTTTGTTCCCAACAACGTAAATTTGAGAAAACCCCGGTGAATTGTTATCTGGTTCCAGGCTCGAAATCCTATGCGACAAGGCTCCTGAGATTTTGAATATATTGACTCCCATTGGTCCTTGGACGGAACGGTCTATCCTGGCGCCAAGTGAAGTGAAGGAAATTGAGTTGTTATACATCCGTGTAAACTGTTGAAAGTTGACTTCCTCTGAAAAACACCATCATCAGCAACCCCTCAAACGATGAAAAAATGGATCTCACCTTCGCCTTTCCCAGTGAGGAGTCTCCTTAATATCGATGGGTATTTTGGAGCGCTTTCGTGAAAGTCAGGCAAGGTAACTTTGTTCTTCTGGCAACACATTGAGTACGATTTATTCAGCTTGGTCCGGTCAACTAAGGTCGCCTCGGCAGCCCAATGGAGCGCTCCACATGAGTCGCACTGGTGGTTGCAGCGGCCAAGCCTGTGAGGAACTGAGTAGTCTGAAGCGTTATGAAGCCGTGACTCAAAGTCTGGGGATGTACTGTTAGTGATTTTTGATTTAGAGTTTATCATTTCGGTTTTGGTGTGTAGAACTTGGATTTTCTATTTGTTGATGATTAGAGTGGTCTTTCAAAGGGTCAACTCAAGCTCCACGGACGTTAGTCTCGACCTCATCAATTCTGTAGGTTGATGCACTTAGACAACATTTAATTCAATTTAGGATTACACTCGATAACCATGATAGCATTTAAGGAACACCTAGACAACTTAGGCAGTTCAAGTTACAATCGTGCAAGCGAAACAATTAACCTATTCTGTAAGGCCTCGATTGTTGTTACTCAACCTGAATGAGTCTTGTGTCAGCCGGTATGTTTAGTCACTGCGAAAACTTAACGTTGCCTAGGCTTACAAGTATTATTAAAGTCCCTGTCTCAATTTCTTCACCAAGATATTGACCATAAAATTTGATTTTGTCTCCAACCATTAACTGGTCACCACCCCGAGTCTGAGCCTCCTGGATTCCTTTAACTATTCGTATTTGTATACATGATAAAGCCCCCTGGTAGAACGAGTCAGTTACGTCCATGGATGTATAGCATGGAACTCACTGAAGGTTGGTGATTGACAAGGATCTCGTCTTTGGTATGCTTTGTCTTTGCCAAGTCCCAGCGTTCCTCAATCGACTGTACAATTCCTACTCCACCAATGTCCATACCATGTTGCCTTGCTTGACCTGCAACACTGTCACACAATCGAACAAGGAGTGGGTTGAACTCCCAAACCGTACCAGATGTGTCATTGTGTGAAATTGAGCCCCTAATTGTGTAATCCGTAAACAAGCTGAGGCTGCAGCCAAGGTCTTCCAAACAGGGTGCAATTAATGCTGCAATTATTTTTTCATCGGATGCATAAACACATCTAAGACAATCCTGAAGCTCTGGTCGAATTGGGAGTTGGATTTTGTATATATTACAAAGTCCCATGTCCAGGTCAAATGATTGAAACTGTATCAAAAAACAATGTGTTAGCAGTTGACAACCATCAATATAATTAACACACTTTTTCCTCGAGGCTGCATGTTCCACCAAACGTTAGCTCACCTATCCCTTCGAGGGTAGGTTCCAATCCATACAGTTTTGTTGGCTCAGACACCAAAGAACCTATGTCGATATTTTTTGTCATCATTGGCAATTGGATGTTGTACCTTGAGTAAATTAGTTGATGGTGTTTATGTTGATTGTTTTGACAAAGTTGGTGATGTGATGTTGCAGAATTGTTGGTGAATGACCAGAAATGTTATTTTGAGAATTTTGAGTTTAATGAGAGAACATTTTATGCCAAAACTCTCCATCATCAAGCTTGAACCAATTTGGTCAAATCTGCAACCGAGGCGACTTTCAAGGCTGGTTTGGTTCAAGTTGGTTGGGACTGGTTCACCGATGTGGTATAATAGCAACAATCAGGCATGGCCATTACAACTCTTCTCATCCCATTGCAGCACATAGCCGAGTGTTTAGTAACACTACCTCAAGAAACTTACACTTTAATCACTGCAAGTTTGCCTTACATATGTCAAAATTTCATTTGAAGGCGTGGTGAAAATTGTCATGGAATGTCCGGTCGTAACTTGCCCTCCCCGCTGCAGTGTTTATTGGTTTTGGTCAATCAGGAATATCACACTCAACAAGCATCACATGTATAGTAGTACTCAATTTGATAGGAAAGATTTATGCATTTTGTGGAGTTGTCATTTTACAATCAGAGACAAAGACAAACTTGAGCGAGTAAGTAGACGGAAAGGATCAACTAACCCTAGTATGTTTACTCATTGAAATGACAACAAATTGATAACTGGAACGGCTCATGTTTATCGTTTTTCGGTAAGCTTGAGATATGGATTAATGTGATATCCATTAATCTGGAGATCGATGTCTACACTCGCCTTAGTGAGTTCCTTTAACGTAAGTCTTGAGATTACCAATGTAGAGTTTATCTTTTGGGATATTCTTGTATGGGGGCCGCTCGAAAACTGCACCACTCTTTGTATCTTGGGAGGTTGTGGCAGTTTTCTTATTGATCTGGAGTGACAATCCTAGCCGGTCATAAGGCAAGTCATCCTGCAAGTGTAAGGTGCAATGTCGAACCTCGTGTGCCCGCCAAACGAGTTTGACGAATACATGGTGTTTGGAGAAATCAATACCACACCTGTAATCTGGGAAGACAAAAGCTCCACCAGAGAGGTTCGAGTGAGTACTCAACGTTGGAACGGACCAGTCATGCCTATTTACAGGTAGGAATAGGCCGAAGGCAAACTCTGACAGGTCTTGACGGTCACAGTGTGGGGGGTTGAAAAATCCCCCAGCAGTGAATGTGAGGTTGGGAGCGCAATCGTCTTTTCCAATTGGCAAGTCGAAGTCCGGATGCCCAAGCAATGGGATTGAGTATTGTTGCATGAGTTCTTGATTGTCCGAGAAAGCCACATTGGCAACCCGCCGGAACATTCTGCCAAGGATACTCGAAACGTGAGATGAGCGTTCCATAAGTTGGTTGTACTCTTCTGGATGTCGGGTAATCACTGCTTTATTCCGGTAGAGCCCTAAAAGCTGGAATGCAACCATTGCCTTCCGCCAACCTATAGCAAACATCTTGCCTCCCCAGGACCGTGCCTCAGACCCAACAGCATTAACAAAATGTTTCATCGAGTGCAAAAAGTTTGTGACGGTGGTGATTTCATCGAGTTTGGCGAGAGATGCATCATCAAATGAGGTGAATTCTATGAGGGCTATTATTTTGGATTTATCTAATTTGTCGTGTATAACAACCTTTCCGTGGTCAAAGTACTTGAAACCTCGAGCAATCGAGTTGCAGGAGTCAATTTCTTCTTGCGTTGGGGGTTGGTCCGGATCGTCTCCAAGCATGTGTGGGAAGAGTTCAAGCGGGATGTATCGTTTTGATGACCAGATAATCTTATCTTCTGTTGTATCTTCAGTGTCCGATGGCGGTACCGTTAACATTGCAGAGTCTTGAATGGGGACAGTATTGTTTTGCTGACGCGAACGGTTGTGAGGTGCAAGTGTGGTATCGTCAATTGTGAATAGAAATCCACCCCTCCTCTCCTCTGCATGCTTTTTCGAGCAATTTTTCCTTTTCCGTGCCGCCAGATAAGCTTCCCGGACACTTCCCATAACTTCAAGGCGCGAAAAGTGTGCTACTATCACACTCAATCAGAAATGGGAATTGTGTCCAGTCGGCTAAGGGGCTAGGATAGTGTGAGATAGAGGTCACTTTGAAAGGCAGTGAAGCTCCAAGCAAAGGTAGAGGAGAATGGGTACGTCGATAAAAAGGTGAGGGTTCGATTTGTAACTCGATTTCCCTATTATTGACGCCTTGGTGACCAGGCGCTTGTAATCCGTTAATGATGATAATACGAGAATGCCGAAGGCGAGTGAATTAATTTCAATTGAATCGCCTGTAAGATCGGTCGTATTCAATATTTGGGCATCGTTTGAGCGTCAGCACATTAACAATAGTAAGGGAACATATATAAGACTAAGCTGGGTGTCATACGGGCAGGTAGTATTTGCCAAACAATTGTCGATCTTGAGGGTTGTCCCGTGTCAAGAAACAAAAACTGCGGTTTGTTAGAGAGAAACGGGTGCTACGTAAGGCTATAGGTCTGATCAACATGGGGCAACTTTGGTTGACTGCACACTCGGACTTGAAGTTCCTAAAAGTGCAACATATGCTAATTAGTTTGGATCTGTTCGGTTGATGGCGACTAAGTTATTAGGTTTCATGAACAATTTGGAGGAAGGTTTTTACTAACTTGCCCCTTTTTTGAGGTTTGTAAGCCTCCTTCTCCAACGGACCCGGGCAAATCGTGTATGAAGATCTGTAAGGTGTGCAAGAGCCAACGCTAACCTATCAGCCTTGTTCATCCCGATGAAATTGAAGACAAATGCGTCGGACCACTAACAAATCAAATAATTTGTACTATATCACGAAGTCTAGCTAGTTGAAGTCGAAGTCGAATCAGCCTTGTTCATCCGGATGAACTTCAAGACAAAGGCTTTGGACGACGCACCAGTCACACAATAATTCCAAAATCGTCGAGTCTAGTTAGTTGGAAATCGAAGTCGAATCAGCCCTGTTCATCCGGATGAAGTTCAATACAAAGGCGTTGGACGACGCACCGGTCACACAGTGATCCAATATTGTCGAGTCTAGCTAGTTGAGAATTGAAGTGAAAGCGGTTTGAAGTCGAACCAGATCAAGGCGTTGGACGACTGACCACCCAGATAACAGTCCAGATGCTGTGAGGCAAACGATATGAGGATCAAAGTTGATGATTTGAATGACGCGTTGTTCAAATACCGAGGCCGAGTTTGGCGATCAAGCGAGATGTGAACGAAGGGTGAGGAATACCAAAAGAGTCTTAGGGACAAAGATGACGGGTTGAGTACAGCGGGTCGTGAGTTGACTGCTGGCAGGGTGCGGGTTGCGTGGAGGTATGGCTAATCCTTTCCAACCGAGTTTCGCTGGGTTGACCTCAACTCGGCAGGAGGTTGTTTACATGTGTAGATACATACTGACTTTGCAAATGGGAAGCTCCGCAGCAATTTGGAGAGTCAACCGATGCAGACAAAACACTGTGATAGGTCATCGAATAATCTTGCCGAAGGTCATCAAATGATCTTGCCCAGCTAGGCAGGGCTTGAAGCCAATACTCTCTAACGATGTTAAGGAGACTAAAACCGTTTCGTGATACGCAAGTCGTTAAGAAGTCAATCCGAGCCTCGGAGACAGTCCTCGGCATCGCGATTTGATTGATTTCAACGAGATAAATAGGTTTATCCTTGACGCCGCATTTCACGATTCAAAGCAACTGAATCTCAATGTGTGTTTTTGACATATAAATCGCACTCGAGTTCAGCTTAAGGTGAAGGCCACAAGCTAGACGTCAGGAAGAGGGGATCATTAATCAAGGATGTACCCTAGTCAGATCAACTCAAAATAGCATCGCTCGATGATTGCCACTCAATCTAAACCCGAATAGCTTCCAACACGCAGAGCAAACCACCACCAAAGGGTGTATTGAGGAAGAGTCGAAGTTGAAAACAACAAAAGCTGAAGACATTGTTGGCCTATTGGACAAACTGCTAGCACAAAGTGAAGTGCAGATAGAACCGGACCGTATACATGATCAGGTGACGTTATTCATGTATCCTAATTGTGCGACGGCCTATCGTTGCCTCGGTTAATATATCATGACCTATGGTCAAGCACCAAACTACCGCGCAGTCATGAATCCCAACGTTGGAAAAAATATTCGCCTGATGGCTTGGGTCGACATCTTTCAATTTATGTCTATTGAATTACCATTATATATTTTTTTATGTTAATCTGATGTCTGTGAAGAACAATTCGATTCTGATGTTATGAATTGTTGGTGTGTGAGGTGTTATATGAAATGCAGTGTTGGTGCATAGTCGTCTCACTTAAAATCTTTTCTCTTCTAACTCTTAACAGCACAAGATGAGATGACGATTTTTGGCAGATGCTCCAGCTATTAAAAATCTTGGTGAGTCTCAACGACATCGGAGGGTGCTTGGCGTGGTGAGCTGTGTGAGGAGCTTGTGAACAAATCATTTCAACATTTCATATCGGCAGTTGTAGTGGTGTTTTGCGGACGGTGTGGTGTTGATGAGGGGAGGGCAGCTTGTTCATTCAACAAGTCCAAAGCAGGTTTATAGGAAGGATGTCAGCCACAGAGTACATGTCACAGTACCTTTCATGTACCAAGTAACTGCAACACCTGTACTTATGTACATAAGTACTTATCCATAATGTTGATTACCTTTACCTCTTGTTATCTTATCATTATTATTAACTTATCTCATTTATCCTACATTTATCTTATCTGTTAATTACTTATCCATTAAATACATATCTGTTTTGTAAATAAGTAATTATCACTTACCTTTCACTCCTGTGTCCGTGAAATACCTGTACCACAAGTTATCCCTAGTCTATAGTATTTTCACGGTCAGATATTATTACAAATAAATATGTACATGTATTAAATAGTCAGTATTAAGTGTTAATAGAATTAATACATTCAATACATGCACTGATCACAATTATGACTACATTATTAGAGGATCTGTTAAGTACACATCAAGAGCAACTAGTACACAATTATGATGTCACTTACAGATCATGACAAATAATGATCAGTCACTCAATTGATGTGCTCATTCTCCTGGCCAAAGCTCCCTTGATTCTGAGCGCTCATTCTTTCCCCCCTTCAGTATTCTGGAACTTATAATCCGTGCCTCTTTCACTGGTTAATCCCCAGAATATTCAGACACCAGTTAAACCAGTTAACATTTATATTGATACAGCACACGTAACCAACATAAATCTTGTCTACCTTTATTGTTCTTAAGCTTCAGTACTCTTACTCAACTTATCCACAGTATTCATAGCCTTGCTGAATATTCCCATTAACAATACCTGTTAATCTTCAACTAATTTTGTTAAAGCTTAATAAGTATTGTTAGCCCATTCCCTTTTGGGAATAACCAAATCAATCCCAGGTGAGTCTTAGTACCCTGGATGCCTATTAATACCTTGTATTGATCCGGATGCGCTGTTGATAGCAAGCCTCTCAGTAAAGACCATACTGATAGAGTGAAACCTCCTCATTACAGGACTGGTATTAATCACCCACTACCTAACACTCACCACACTCAAAAAACTTCAGTCAACTCATAGTAACAACCTTTTTACTATTAAATACTCAGGTTAGTTACCCAGAGGCTGACAATTGGGGGTCTGGCCTAATTGGAATTCCGTGACTAACATATCTCCTTGCTTCTCTTAACCTTTTGTCCCCAAAACATTTACTACTAACAATGGCCTTCTGAAGAACAAATGCCGGAATTTTTGCCATTTATTAGACAAATAGACAGTACAATTGCAGAAGAAGCTAGTAGATATTACCACAACCACCCGGATAAAATTACAGTTATTGAAAGAGTAGAAAAGATAAAAGTAACAGGAGCAGAAGATAGATTTTGGAACTACATAGAAACTAAGCGCTACCATTGTACCCTTCATTCTACCTATTCCCCTGACTACATACTCATAAATCTTGTAGAAGAGGACGTTTCCATAGTAGAAAAAACCGTAGAAACCAATAGAAATAACTTCTTTACAGCGCTAGAGAAACCCCAAAATATAGGACTCTTCCTACTAACATCTTGTCTAGAACAGTCCGCTACTACTCTCTTCCACCTTTCACCGCTTGTTCTCCGCCTCAACCCAACTCTATAATCATAGACCTCACGGATTTAGAATAAATTAGACTTGTTTTTATCTCATCTCATCTCATTTTCTTAGTATCAGAAATAAAAACACCAAAAAACACAAAAATAAAATTCTTGCGCTATCTTTTTTACTCATCTCGTGCCACAAAAAATCGCAAAAATATTTCATTTTATCTCCATTTGATTCATCCACACAGAAAAAATTAAAAACCCTTAAAAAATACGCCCGTGTCCCTTCAAAAAGTCTTATTTTTTCAGTCTGAGTCACTTTACACTATCACGGAGAGAGAACCATAACAGATAAAAACAATCTGAGTTGACCATTCGATCCGCCGTACCCTGTTTACACTACTAGGTTTTTTTCCTGAGCCTTGAAAGTCTACTATTCCTACGGCGTGAGCGGATCTAGCCTCATTTACCCATCATCTCGAGGGATTAGTACCTGGGTCGAAGGCTAATACACCTGGTCGAAGTCTAAAAATAGAGTATCTCACGTGTACATAAGGTCTGCAGGCCGTATACACAGTTACAACTCAATACACCCCGGATTTGCCAGGATCTGCAAGGATCTACATACATACAGATCTTCTGTACTACCACTCCCGCCTAGTACATCACCCCTCCTACTAAAACCGTTGAAAGTGATCTTTCCTGATCTTTGAGAGAGTGTAGCTCCTTCATTATTTGAGCTACATCGACAAACAAGATACAGAACTCATCGCCTTTATAAGACGCATCCAGAGCCGCCTTACTTTCCATCCTCACTCAACTCCATCACCCAGTTCCAGTAGCAAACACCGACCTCTCAAGTTTTCGACCAGAAATACTCTGAAATATTTCATTCTGAAAAGTTG